AAAAGCGGCAGACAGCAGACACATGGAGATAATGTCTTTGCATGTTTTGTGCCATTGCAAATCTCGGTGGACTCAATAAAAAAAGAAAGATGAGGCGAATAGAAACCCAAACCAGGAAGCCAAAGCAAAAAGGCCCAGATGTTCGCTCAGACAGAGGTGCATAAAGAGGGGACCGGGTCTATCTCTATCATTCTAACCATTTGAGAGTGGGTTTGCATCGTTGTTCTAGGCCAGTTTACATTGCTAAACTTTTGAGAAATTGATGCTGCACGAAGACACAACTAAGAATGGGTAAAAAAGGGGAAAGATTAAGCTAACGAAGGCAAGATACTATAGGTAGAAACCTTTAGAAACCTCTGTAATATTAGTAATAATACTAAGGTCCTAAGAACCTTTATCTATCCATTAAATTTTGACATAAAACTTAGAAACCCTTCCCTAAAAATGTGAAAAAATTAACTATTCTTATTTTTATTAAACTTGTATTATGTTAAAAGCTTTCTTTAAAAGTTAAAAATACATAGTACACTGCATATTGTCAACAGTAAAGTAAGAAGCTTTGATTCCAACTTTTAGAAACAATAATAATGATAATGATAATCCTACTTCTCTTGACCATGTCTTTAAAGGTATTTGAATATATAATACCCTAATCCTAAATAAATTATGAAATTTAAAGTTAAAGTTAAGTCCTATGAAAAGCCATATATATCCTTCTTTTTCTCAGAGTTAGTGTATCATCAAAGAAATCCCAGCGAATCGCTTCAATTTATTGCCATCGATTGTAATTATTCAAATGGCTGTGTGGCCAAAGTTTTTGTTCTATTTCTCTTTTCCTTCTTTACCATTTCCATTTTCCAACTTCTTGTTGAATTTTCCCAACCCTTTTTTTCTTCTTCTTTCTTTTATTACCGCATCAAGTTTTTCCAGTTCGCTTGGAACACACTCTATGCAAATTGTTTTTGGAACTTTGCAGCTAAATGAGAAATATGGCAAATTGCTTGAGTGTAATAGCCACAGTTTCAGATGCAATGCCGAGGGCCTAGAATTAATTGGTTGACTGTAACCAATTTCTATTATATTTTTTGGCCTCTGACGAATGGGTAATATATATATATATAATACAATAAAGGGAATGAATGAAACTGGCTAAGCAAACAAAGCCCGCCGGATATGGTACAACAGGTACATAGAAAATAAGAGGGGAGAAAAATGGAGGGAGGACTTAACACCCAAAACGTGACATCATCACTTTACGACTCTATGATTCCCAAGAATGGTCAAGCAAAATCCGACAAATTGCAATTAAATGTGAGTGGAAAGGTGGAAAAAAGTGGCAAGAGAGACATAGAAATAGAGGAAATAAAAAAATATTATATACATACATATATAAATAATATAAAGACGGCCGATCAAAAGATGGACAATGACCTGACAATGGAAAACTGAGACAACAAACTAGCCACTGATGATGGCGGCATTTAAAATAATAGTAAAGCAAAATGCGGCATAAACAATAATTAAGCTTAAGCGCAATGTGCGTAACAGCAGGCAAAAGAGACGGTCGAGTGAAAGAGGAAGCTACAACAATGGTCAAAAGCGAGACATTGACCCAGGCCTAAAGCCGAGACTCGAACCACTCACATGCGCAACATATCTTATTACCATATTGCAAGACTTGTTGCTTACAAACTCAACATGTTGACAATCTCAAAGTTAAGGCCAAGGTCAGGCTGGCAACATGTTGCCAAGCTCGATTTGTTGCAAATAATAAGAGAGCTAAAAAAAATACAATTTTTGGCAATCCATTGAATAAAAATTAAAAATAAAAATACATTTCACACAGTTGGACACCTTCTGAATAGTTTAAGGAATGAATATATAAAAAATATATTTTTACTTTAGTATATCAATACCATACGGTCATAATAACACCCTGCTATATATAAAATACAAGGAAGCCTAAGCAAAATAAAAACCAGTTGGCCTGATCTACATCTTATTTTCTTCTTTTCCCCTTTGGCAACATGTTGCCAAGGTGTGCTTGTAAGAAACAAAAATCTGGCTTCCCCGGCAAAAAAGATACGCGCAGGTCAGGAGTTGCACATCGTGAGGCTGTGCTGGTAGCCATAACACCAATAGGAACACATACTTGTTAACAGCCGTGGGGGGGGAACAGCCAACAAATGCCGGAAAACTTTGGCCAAGACCAAAAACCACTTAAAAAAGGTCAGCGAAAAGTCGCAACACACACATATACTTCTTTCTCAGCTAGAAGCTGATAATCATTTCCCCCCAAACCCGTAACAATTTTAACATGCCTGGTCTTGGCCAGGAATAAAGAAAGATACTTCCCCACCTCCCCCACTTACTCAGATTATATCCCCCACCTCTTGATTTTCTATCATTTTCTCCACCAACACCACGAACACCCAATAAATGCTCTCTTCAAACTAATAATCATGACTTGTTAATCTTTACGCTGCTCTTCTCACTTGCTAAATTTGTTGCCTTTTTTATTGAGTATAGATACACTATCTATATGAAAGGGTATATGCGAATTTATGTTAAATATAAATATATTATTTTGGGTTTTTTGCATGGGTATTATAATTTTAGTTAGAAGCTGAAAAGCAGTGAAGGAGTCTTTCCGACCCTATAAATCATATATATTCTTGATCAGCATCAACAGACAAATCGATCTAGGCATGTAGGAACGAAACTAATTTTTTTTTATTTTTTTCAAAATTTTATAACAGGTTTTTACATCTTTGACATTTTGAAAAATTACAAAATTTTTAAAAGTTATGAAAATTTAATTTAGGTATGCAGAATTATTAACCTATACAAAACTAGCACAGAACAGCTTTCCGAATTAAAACTAATGCTCTTTTGGCTTAGTTATACGTTTTTTAATTTCTTTCTTTAATTTATCGAATAAAATTTCATATAAAATTAACAAATAATAAGGAATTCATATAAGTTAGAACTCACAAATTGTATTTCATAATTTCTAAATTCCTTTACAGAAAAATATATAAATATCGATTTAATTTATTTAAAATGGTATATTTCTGGAAAAACGATTCAATCTCAATCATATTTCTATATAAACTAAATAATTGATCTTTTGAGAGTATTCAACTTTCTCTATATCAAAAATTCGTTAATACCCTTCATTACTTCCCTTTTCTCGTCATGATTTTGGACATGTTCTAAGCTGCTTGGATTTAACGGTGGATGATTGTTGCTATTTTTGTTGTTTTGCTGTTGGGTTCCTACTATTACTACCTCTTACTACCGGCAATGTTGTAGTTATTTCGTTAAAACCCGATGATGCTGCTGGTGCTGCCTTTTTCACGCATTATCGTCATTATCATCAGCATTGCGAGAGATGATTACCCGAATGCCGCCAACTATTATAGATGATGTAAGTGCAAAAAGCCATTGAACGCTTATTATTTTTCTACCTCTCCATCTCTTTCGACGGGGTGAATTTCGTTGTATTATTTTTTACTTTTTTTCATATTTTTCCTAGCCAGCTTTACTTAACCAATAAACGCAAACGGAGGAGCAATAAACTTTGAGCAGACATTGTGGCTAGACAAGCTGTGAAGTGGAGAAGAGAACCTTTCACTTTGGCCCGCCCAAGTTGCCCTTTTTCGATCTTTAATGTTAAATTCAGCTAAGCAGCTTAAGACCATTTCGGATGGGAAACTTTGTGGTTATCCTTGAACGAAAACACTTTCATTGACTCGCAGGCGTTGGCGTTGCCGGTTTGCCAAAATACTTTCGTGGGCGTTTGGGAAAGCAACCAAAACAGAAGAAAAAGGACACATCATTTTCCTTTCCCTCCCCCCTTCCTCTCTACCACTTATCATCTGCAGTTAGTGGCTTGGAAGTTACTTGGCTGCATTTTCTGTTTAGCTGCGTTTAGCTTACCCCGTATTTTTGGCACTTAACCAAGGTTAAGTAAGACTTTCCCCCAATCTTTGCAGAGAACAAAACCCAGAACGAATCCGCCAAAAGGAAGTGATAAAGAGTGAGTAAAAAAGGACATAAAAGGAGGTGGAGGAGGAGTAGAGACAAAGCCATTGTGGGTTGCTAAAGATTCAATTCAAGGACTTCTACCCAAAGTCATTAAAGTGGAGGAAAACTATAACTGCAGATTGTAAAAAAAAGTAAAACCTTTAAAAAATTTATGCAAGCTAAGAAAATTAGGAATATATACACGTAAAGCAAGCTTTATATTTTAATTAAAGAAGAAAGAGTTATTGAATATGAGCGTTTCAGTTGATTTGAATTACTTACAACTTACTTACAAGTATAACAACATTTAAATAATTATTAAATAAAATATATTTAATTTTTTATTTAAAAATTTCTTCTCTAAGGTTTTCTAGGTCTTCTCTTAGGTTTCTTAAGCATTTCTGAGGCTTCTCATTGATTAAAATATAACTGAACTTGCTAGGAAAGAGATGGCTTGAGTCTGACTGAAAGAGATAGGAAATTATTGAACACCACATAAATAAAAAAGAGCCATCTCTTTCCTACAAAATAAAGTGAGCGAGCAAAGTGCGTAAACAAAAACAAACAAGATGCAAATTGAAATTGAAAACGTTACGCATGCGCTGCTTTTTCGAACTGAACCGAACTTGACTTGACTTTCCATGGAAATCCGCATGTATTTTTTTTGGTTTTGATGCTGCTCCTGTCGCTCGACTTTCAAACCTATCGAATATCAAAGCGAGAGAGAGAGAGAGAGAGATATAGAGGGAGATGGCAGCAAATGGAAAATGCAATTGGAAACGTGAGGTTGAGGAGGCAGAAAACTCAGCATCCAACCCAACCCATATACGCATCTTTTCCGTTCAGTGAGCATCGCATCCGATGATGAAATTGAATCTGCTCCGGCTGTAAAGGCAATAAAAGTGGGCGACTGACCAGAGAGATGCGTCACATGTTGGTCGACAGTTGGAGCTGCCATAAGTTATGGAGCCATGGATTTGGATATCCTGAATCAGCATACATTTACAATCCTTTGGATCATCATCTGCTGCCTACTAACATGGAATCTCGAGAGCTGCCAGGCGAAACCAGGTTCAAGCAGCGGCGAGAGGTAAGATTTAAAAGGAACAAAGGATCTTAGGATTTATATTTAAATCAACTTCAAGGGTCCACATTCGTCTCCACATGCCAGAGGTAGTGCGTCAGCATACGCATTACCACAAAGTCTACAAATATCCTCGGCAAATCCATCCTGTTCCTGTTCAAGTACCTGCACCCACAGCGATCGCTTCGCTGCCGCCAAAGTATCTGGGAAAACCCCATGTCCAACTTTTGGGTTATACAACCTCAGTGGGAAGTTCGGGACCAATGGCACCAAATCTAATGCAACTAATGGCCACTGCTGCCACGCCCAGCATGATGCCAACGCCCACAAGTCTAATGCCCAATTATGGACCCGCTTTATTTGATAATTACAATCAGGATGCAACGGCTTTAAGTGCAACCACAACAACTACAACAATGAGACCTCAGGTCTTGAAAGCTGTCACCAAACAGCAACAAATGTTGCAACAATTATTCTCAGCACCTCAGCAAATGGAAGATGAGGATGCTTCCACCTCGGAGGACAATCAATTGGAGAACAACTCTTTGCTAAACAACAGTTTCCTGGAAGCCCTGCAAAAGGAATATCTATCGAAATTTGGAGGACGTCGAAAACGCAAGAAATCTAGTTCAAAACTTAAGAACTCCTCCATGAAGGATTACTCTAATAACTACAGAAATAAACCCTACTATTATCAAGATGAAGATCTATCGGAGAACTTTGAGGATTATCAGGACGAGCCACACGATCATGAGGATTACGAGGAAGTGATGATGATGAGTACCCCGAATAAATATGGCGGTTACTATCCTACAGGATCTGAGGAAGCCGAGGATCAAGCTCAGGGTTATGACACTGCTGTGGCTTTTAGTGGTCAGGATAATAGCATTTCATCTTCGATACCCACGACCATGGAGGATTTTCTTGATAGTGTGAATAATCCTGGATCCGGATCCAACTACGATCCCTATGACAATTGGCAACCCTATTCAACCAGTCCTACAATGACCAATAATTGGTCAAGACCCACCACAAATTCGTATACAAATTCTCACAATAATTCCTCAAAGAGCCCAAAATCAAGACCCATACGATCCCGAGGCAAAAAGAAAATTCGTTATGTAAAATTAATCACGCGAAAGAAGCGAAAAAATCACATCCGAACCAAAAGATATCGTAATTAAATTGAATAAACAAAAAAGGTTTTGCAGTTACTCATCTTTAGGTTATGTTTAAAAACATGTTATCTATTTATAAATAAATACAAAATTGAATTATAAATCAGTCTTACCCCTTTATCAATATTATTAAATTTCTTCAAATAGCTTTTAAGTTCTTACCTGAAATTAAAGAAAAAGAAAGTGGCATTTAATAAAAATATTCATAAATATTATGTAAATTAAATATGGTATTATGTTCCAGTCTAGCTTTAGGTTATAAATATCTTGGCGACATATATTTCCATTCACAAAAGTCACTTTCTTTGGCTTTTCTTGGCCAAAGCAAACACTCATTAGATGCACAAACAAACCATAATAGAAACCAACTAAGGCTGGAGGGAAAAACTACCCCCATATAGACAGAAACCAGAAACTGATCCACCATTCGCCTACGAATTCCTCCCACGAAGCCAGCAAATAAAACGTACAATTAAATGGGCAGTTCAGAGGAAGAGAAGGGGACTTCGGAGCTGAGCAAATAATAAGTACAAATGCTAATAAAATTCAATTAAAGGCCACAAAATTACAATAAAAGTGGACCCCCAAAAAAGCAAACTAACTTAGGTCTATGCCAAGTCCTAAAATAATAAGAGAGAGGGCGGTTTTGCTGGTTGAAAGGGAAAGGACGAGCATCACAAGGGGGAGTCTTTGTCGCCCATGAAAAGTCAAAATTAACGACTCATTTGGGCAAATTGAAGCCATAAACTACAAAAGCGAAACGAAAATGGTGAAAGAGTGGGGACTCTCAACTTCCTCATCTTTGGAAATATATAGAAAAGTCTTTTTGAGGTTAATGTAGGCCAAAGTAATATTTCTATTATTGAGGAATATTTATATTTAAAAGAAATATTTTCTAATTAATATTTTCAAATATTATTTAACTTATACACCCTTTTCTTGTAAGAGTACTGGGTATAAATATATACATAATAGATGTCTGTTTTGCTATATTATTTATTTTCTCTGGAACATATCCAAGTGTGTGACAAAACAGGGGATGATGATCTGTGGGGACAAAGTGTGGGCGTTATAAAAGGACCCCAAAAGAAGCCTTTGTTTATGTGTCTCTACTTCGTATTTCTATTTCACATTCTTAATTTTCTGCTGGTCATATTTTTATTTCATTTCTGGGGCCATAAAAATACGAGAAAGTGTGATGTAAAAACATTCTCGGCATACTTTGGAAGAGGGGACGGTGAAATTAAAAGCTTGTAAAGATTTTCATTTGCTTGTCCCAAAAGCCAGAAAATCTTAGGGGGTTGGGGAGCAGAGAAAGCAAATATAAGGCAAGGATATTTGCCAGGACATTTTTGGAAGGGGGGCCAAGCGAAGCACATAAAGTGTTGATGTGTCAACCATATGACATTTATTGTTTAGCCGACGACAGCGAATGTCTTGCAATGTTTTTCGGAGGATAGAGTCCTTGGAGTGAGGAAAAAGAGGCGCCATGTTTATTACCCCCAACAGATGGCATCGAAAATGGAAAGGATGGGATGGAATCGAGTCAAGGCAACAAGTGAGATGAGAGTGAGCCTGGGCGGATTTTTCCCCCGACTTTGCTGCAAGGTTTATGGGGCGTGGGCTCTCTCGGTGGGTCTGATGTCATAATATATAAATGTATTTGCGATTAAAGTCGTTCGAGTTGAGCCTGCGCAATGATCAATGGCTTTGTTATATGGTCATGAATAAATTGTTGACAAAGGTCATAAAAGAACTAGGCTTTAAAGGATACTAATTTGATCAATGGATGGGATCAAGAAATTATTTCTGTATTTTATTTATTTATTTTATTGTTTATTTTTCTTTTATTTACTTGTTTGTATTTAGAATAAAATATTAATAGTTAATTAAAAATTAGTATTATTTCCATTAAAAATACAAAATATCATGATATTTATTATTCTCCAAACGCAACTGTACATTTTCATGGTTTTTTTTTAACAAGTTGGCAGCTCTTTAGCAAAATCCCAACAAGCTGGCAGTCCTGGCGCCATAAATTACGCTCACAAATTGCCTTCACTTATATCGCAAACACTAAAAGCTATATGCCGATGACTTTTTTTTGTACAAACATACATATATATATACATTTTTATTCGCCATTGACGTAATTGATTTTCTCGAAATAATGGACAACAGAGCCGGAGCATCACAATGACCAATATTCTACAATATCCAATTCGCCTGCTCGAAATGACAAGTTTATCTGCCCAAAACCACACACACACACACACTCATTTACCCAGAATGAATAAAAATGTCCCATTTCCTTTTTTGGTTTAATGAAAGTGACATAAAAATGGCACCACAACGAAAATTGTGGAGGAAAATTCTGATATCTGGGCAAGGAAACTTCTGCCTCCCTTTCATCTCAATTTAACACTAAAATTGCCATCAAGTTTATAAGCCTAATAAAAGTTTTATATTGCGTTTCGCATATGCCAGCAGCCAATAATTTTATTGAAGTGAAAATTAATTTTCCAATTCAGTTGGGGAAAATATCTCAGACAAATCATTAGCAGTAAACTGCTAAGGGAAAACCATGTATCATTGGCAGGAGTGTGGGGAAAACTAAACACTATAAGAGAGGTAAAAGAAAACTCTTCTGGCTTGGCTAATTTTTAGATAAATGACTTGAAATCTTCTCTCTGCAAACAATTCATTAATTTAATTAATTTGTGGCAATTAAATATGGTTGCACAGGCGACAGCCGCAGGACGAATATTTGCCCAGTCATCATCCACTCAATGGGACAGTCATTTGTTAGATATAAGCAAACATATAAACATATATAATGTACATATATATTCCACTCGCATGTTCATCAATTCCCTGGGGAATCTACGAAGCGAACGCTTTAGCACTTTCCTCCATTTGCTGGGTGCGGTTTCAGGACCAAGTCCAGGGACCAGGGAAACCCACAGGACCTGGGCTTAAATGGGTTAAGTGCTGGCGATAAACACATTCGCATTTTGCCAGGACTAAAGGTGCCACTGCGGGCAGTCAACACCCACTAAAGTAAACCAAAAGAGAAAAAAAGTGTACCGTCATGCCACGCCTCAAGCTCTCAACACTTTGCCACAACAAGATTAAGAGGGGGTTGGATGGATGAAATGGCAGGAAAATAATATATAATGAAGGATATAAATTGGTTAACCATTAACTGGAATCTAACACTTCAAAAGGAAACTATTGATAAAAGAAATAAATAACTATTTAAAGGTAAATAATATAGTTAGGATCTATATAATCATGGGATTTATTTCACTAAGAATTACTTTTATTTCTCTCCCTTAACTGCACTCGAGAGTGACATCATCTGACGCTCTTCAGTGTTGTGTGTGCGTGCTGGGATATATATTCGCTTCATTTGCATTAAAGTCAAACCCATCCGCCCCCCAACTTTTCCAACCAGCAGATGCAATCGTATATAATCATCCGACCCGACCGCTGGACAATCAAGCAATTTAATTAAAATGAAAAGTGAGGGGGCGCACAGCAACTACAAAAACCGAGAACGATTCCATGAAGATGAGGCTCGAGGAGGGGAGGGGAGCGAGTGCAAATGAAATACTCGAGGGCATTACGACAAATGTATTACAAAATGCTAATTAAATGCCAGGAAAATTGGGCCAAGCCTCTCCTCGAAATGGAAACTAAGCTAATCGCACCCCAAGGAGGAAGAGAGTAGTGCGGGCGGAGGATTGGTTGTAGTAATTCCATTGAGGATTGCGCATTGTAAAAAATACAAAAATTACAACATTTTCTTTCGCTTATTTGTGACAATTAAGTGCAAATTACACATTCTGTGTCACACTTGTAAGCTCTGAAGCACACAACCACACTCATTCGCAATGTTTATCTACACTGGTAAGCAACAAAATAGTTATAATAGAGAATAATATATAATGTATTATTTAATATTTTTATAAGACAATTTGTTCTATAAACCAAACCTTTAAAAACTCATAACTTAGCCAAAAATGCTTTCATTTCAATTCAATTCAATTCAATTCAATTCAATTCAATTCAATTCAATTCAATTCAATTCAATTCTAAAGTCAGTCCTGTGCTAGTTTTTATTAGGTTAAAAATCTGCGTACTTAATTTAAAATGTACAAAAATTAAAACATTTTTTCAATTTTTAATTTAATATAAACACTTAAAAAATTATAACAAATTTGGTAAAAAAATTTCCCGCCTAAAATAGCTATATCGATTCGTCTGTTGATGCTGATCAAGAATATATATGATTTATAGGGTCGGAAATGACTCCTTCACATCATTACAGCTTTCGGACTAAAATTTTAATACCCTGCAAGGATCGATATTTATCTATATATTTATATGGAAATTTTTCTACCACGAACAGATAAAAAAAAGTTCATAACTAAGTCAAAAATGCATTAATTTCCAATCGGAAAGCTGTTCTGCGCTAGTTTTAATATTTTAATAAATCTGAATACCTAAATACAATATTTAAACAATTAAAATTTTTGTCAATTTTTCAAAATGTCAAAGATGTAAAAACCTGTTATAAAATTTTGAAATAATTTCAAAAAATTTAATTTCTTTCCTAGATGCCTAGAAAAATTTGCCGGTTGATGCTGATCAAGAATATATATGATTTATATCGTCGGAAATGACTCCTTCACATGATTACAGCTTTCTGACTAAAATTATAATACCCTATAAAGGTATAAGAGGATAACTTTAAGATACATTTCCTGAGATGATATTTTATTTTTAAGATTTTACCAAGACAAGCCTTAAGTAAAAGAATATACAATATAATTTGATTATTAAACCATTTTAATATTTATTATTTGTTCCTTAAAAAGAAGGATTATTTTGCTTTATATAAAGTGTAGAAAAATGTATACAAAACACATACTATTTAATAGTTTAAGTTTATAAATGATAAAAATAATTGCACACACTACCAGCTCCTTAATTAAATCAGC